ATCATTTTTGCGCAAACAAAATCATCCATCACCTCCGTGGGGGTTGCGAGCGCTCCGCAGGGGATTCACGATGATCTCAAGGTCACGTGACGATCGGAGCTGTAACCCGTCGACAAACACGGACACACGCTGTACACACTGCTCACTAAAAAATATTGGTTTTGGCTCAATGTGCTGCGCTGAAAGAGTGCATGTGGCACACACACACACACACACACACAAACACACACATGGTTTAGACGGATGAGCTGATGGCTCCTGAGTGACAACACTCATTTGACTCAGGGGGAGCCGTGCTGAGGAGTCATGCTGAGCGAGCTGGCCTAGAGATGGGTGCAGAGCTTCTGCAGAAACCCACCTACCCACACTCTTGATCACCTCCTATAAAGTGCACACGTGCAAAGGCATGCTGAGATGCAATCAAACATTCAACCATCTCTTCTTCAGGGATTCTACCTGGTAAACTATAGCTGCTAGGACTGTATTTTAAAAAGCTCCTGTTGTGCTTCAAAGCAGTTTCAGGGCCTCGGTGGGCTGCAAAGTGCTTGACAACAGCGTCTGAAACCTCCTTTCCCACAGTGGAATTGGAGAGGTGGTGACATCCGACAATTTTTGTAACAACTGCCAGATCCAAAACAGACATTCCAACAATCACAGCCACTTAAAACAGGTCAGGAAGTTGACTCTGTATGTCTTCTAACACTGTTTTGTGCTTACAACTCAGTTGTCTGAAGCCAAACTTGCATTCTCTCGACTGACCCAGATTCTATAGAAGTCTATGAGAAAATGACTCTACTTCTCTCTTGATTTATTACCTCAGTAAACATTGTAAACATGAGTTTATGGTCTCAGTCTCTAGTTTCAAGTCTTCTTCAATACAGCATGATGTTCATTTAGTAAGTTATGGTCCATTTAGAGTCAAACAGACCATAAAGCAGAGTATGTGTGGCTGCCTTTGATTGACAGGTCACTAACACGGCCTTGTCCCGTCTGGGAGTTGTCTGAGTTTTCATCTTAGAATTTGAAATCTTTCACAGTGTGTCTTCAGTTCATAAAAGTTAATTGTAACATTTTTGGTCGCATAAAAGTCTTATTCGGCATTCAGTTGTACTCAGCTCCCCCGTCTCGTGTCATTTGTGGTTGCAAAAAAAACCAAGATGGCGACGGTAAAAAGTGCCAAACTCAAGGCTCCAAACCAGCAGTCTACAAACCAATAGGTGACGTCACTGTGACCAGTTCCAGTCTGTCGTCATGATTCAAAGCCTAAAGCCCTGTCTGTCTTCTATCAGGCTCCACTTCCTAATCCATTATTGGAGATCAATGTCCAACGTGGTGGTGGGAGGATGCACCTGCATGTTTAGCGGTCCCACTCTGACCAATGGCAGCTCACGTGTGGGGCTGTAGCCTACGGGAGCGGGACCACAGTGATGTGTTGACAGTAGTTAGGTAGAGAGCGCTTCATCACGGTCCATCAAGGCGCCGGAGAACTGCAGTCCGTCAGATTGGTCGAAGTCAATTTGCACCCGCCACACTGCCCGTAATGGCAGGAATTAATCACAGGTAGCAGGTGAACACACAGACACGCACTCACAGACGGGACGGAAACCCCCCACAAAGCACACAGAAGAGTATTTATGCACACGCACGTACAAACCCTGACCGTAGAAGGGGATCTCCACAGCCGCTTGTAATCTTACACACAAACAACAAGTGTAATATTCCCCCCCTAATGTGTGTGTGACTCATGTATGACGAATGCACTGGGGCCTGTAGGGCTGTTGTAGTGGTTGGCTCATGAGAGCACACGCTGGCTTCGCCTCAGGGACAGCAACCTGTCCGACGCTTCCTCACGCAGGACGGCACCCTGCGCCGACCAATGGGATCGCAATAGGTTTTTAGGATTGAGGGAGTATTAGCGTGCGTTTATAAAAATTCATGTCAGCAGCAGTGATGTCCCAGATTAGATGGTTTTGAGCCGTAGAAAAAGCCAGTTGCAGGGAAGGCACTTTACTGTGGGAACGTACAGGCCGTCGCACCGACACCACAGATAAATAATGGCTGACTAGCTTTTTCATATTATCACTGAGTGATTAGGAGTGCTTCCCTTTAACAACATTTAAGAGATAATTAATTACCATGAAGGACATCCTCCATTTGTTTTCCGAACTGGACAAGTTGGATAAATGTCAAAGGCTACGGATGTTGTCTTGGCAGCAATGGCAGCAATGGCCCTTTTCACATGTTGCATCTAAAAACGCGTGGAACATGCCAGACGTGCACCTTTCATTCTTTTATCCAAAGGTGCTAAGGGACGTTGCACTCCTGTCGTGCCTGCCTTTACTAAGCAACCAAAACCATGCGCACTGCGATGACGATGATGAAGAAGTTGCGGTAATTTATCATGTGGCCTCAATGATTGAACTAAACAAAGTCAAAACAACAATAAATACATTTTCCAGCACTGTAAATCCCTCAGAGTAGCTTTACTACTTGGTTTGTCTCAGTTTGTCGGACCTTTCAACTGGATGTTGTGACGTCTTTGGACGGGAAGGTGGGTGAAGCAAGTAAAATAGTCCGTGGGGCTATGAAGCTCTATGTTTACAGAAGAAAGAAAAAGACATCTGCCGGCTGTGATTAGTTGTTCTATTTACAATGTAACTATTTTTATCTCGAGGTGCAGCCGTCGCACCCTGAAACGCTTGTGCACAGTCCCTTAGAGTTCCAATAAGTGCAAACCTGCTTTGTTGTTACATCCAATGAATTACTGTTTTTTTACCTTGGAAACCACAAATGTAATTCTCTTTATAGAGTCAGTGTGTCTTTCACAAGGAATCAACAACCAATCGGACGGTTATTCAATATGTGAGTTTACAACTGTGGAACTGAGATTGAACGCTGAACAACTTAAAGATTTCCATTTCAATAAATATCTGTTTAGTCATTATCTATCCCCAAAGGAGGTAACACAAAGGTGATCAATCTTAGGACCCACTGATGAAAGTATTGTAATATATATATATATTTTTTTTTTTTTTGCAGTATTATGAACTGGATGGGCGACATTCCCGAAAAAAAGCAGTATTACAGTTTTACTACATTGTGTACTCACAAAAAATAGAATGCACACAAAACTTGAAGCTCTTGTATCACCAAAAAGACTCCAGAATGTGGATTTAAAGGCACACCTCCACTGTTTTAACTCAAATAGAAATTCTGAATCAACGAGGACTGAAATCATAAAGGATTGCCACATTAAGTACTAACTGTAATAACTATAAATGCACGTTATAGCGCTATTGTGCGTTGACTTCGATAACACATCGAGATTAAGAGTCTGCAGCAGTCGCTACATCCTTCAACATGTCAACCAGAGCTCAACTCATAACCTCAGTTTTCTCAGAAAGAAAAAGTTCAAAACTTGAACACTGAAATTAAACTGAAACAGTTTAAACATCACAGTATCGTGAGGGTTTGTGGAAATGGACACCAAAGGTATTGAGCCTAAACAAATGCAAGGGAAACGGTACAAAGCTGCTGGCAATCCTAAGTGTAAATTCTAATATTTTGTAAAAGTTCTGCCGGTTCCTCTCGTCAAACATTTCAAACTGTCAGGACAAAAGGTGAACACGACTTATGTCCTGGTTGCCCACGCCCGGGTCATGACACGCAGCACCATCTCGTGACGAGACGGTCCTCTTGGCTTCCTCCCAACGCCCTGCAGACCGAGGCCATGTGTCTGCTCGCTTGTCTGTGAATAACCGCCCCTCGTCTTTTTTACTCTTTCCCCGTCATCCGCTACCCGTCTCTCACATCTCGCACTCTGTGCCGCTCGGCTCCTCTCTACTTTGCAAACCAAACTTGTTTTCTCTCTCGCTCTCTCCTTCTCTCTCCCTCTCTCTCTTTTCCTCGATTTCCTTTGGGGATTTAATTTTTTCTTCTTCGTCCTCGACAACCTCCTCTTTCTGTCTCTTTCTCGCTCTCGCCGGGACCCTGCAGCCAGGATGACTCGTCCAGCTGATGAGCGACGCCGCTCCTTCAGTATCTCATGAATGAAAGGGAGGCAAATGCTGAGCAATCGTTCATCACAACACTCGAAGGAAGCGACTCCAACTAACCCATCCAACCGGCAAACTGCTTTCAGAACAAGACTCCAAATCGCTTCAGTTTCATAACCCGACAAAATTCACACTCAAGAGCTTTGTCAGCAGAGGACGACTCATCTTCTGCCAAAAGAAAGGATGTTTCTCCACATCATTTACTTCTTCTTCTTGAACTGGCTGACATTTATTCACTCAATAATTCAAGAGTACCACTAGCCAGACTGAGTCAGGAGCTTCAGGGGATTGGTTTAAACCACTAATTCAGATGGTCTCCGATGAACCCATGCTGAACCTGCGGTTTTCAAACATGTCCCAGGAAAACCCTCAAACTCCGGAACGTGTCCTCTACTAGATGTAAAATCGTGTTTGATACCGTTCACGGAGCTGATGTGCCTCAGTGGCTAAAACGCTCATCAATAATTGCTCGCCCTGCGGCCGACGAGGACGAGTTATTCAAACTAAAATACAAGACATCTCGCCATTGCAGGATGATGCATAAATCGTAACAGCCGTTTTTTTTTTTAGGTTGAGGAATGACTTCATACTTGACAGAGGAAGAAAGCGAGAGATGGGAGGGAAGGGAGGGGAGGAAATTGTGGGAAAGCTGAAATGAGGCACGCTTGTGTAACAGGACGGCGGGAGGAAGAACATCAGCACAGAGAGGTAGTGTAGAGAATGAATGAGCGCTGGATGCTCTGATGGCCAAAGCCTCTGTGTCCCATCATGTCGCTCAGAGGGATTAAAGCCTAAAAGCAGGGAAGGACTCATATTCTTCATGCATTGGCATACTTGTGTTTTAGATACCGTGTGTATATGCATGCACATATAATATTGAAACATGAGGATGAATGCACTCCTGGCCGCTATCAAACACACCCTCACACTCTGTCGAGAACTCACCTTCCGATCATAGTAGAGTGCTGCTGCACGGCGGCCTCCAGGAGGCGCTCCAGGATGGTCCACTCTCCCATGGCTGGAGTTCGGAGGCATCAACTGGGCACGAGAAATCAGGAAGGGGGTCTTCCCCAGTCGGCAGCGCACGAGTTAAAAGTCCCGTTTTGTGAGTCTTTCGAATCCACTTGTTGGGTCGAGATGAGGTAGGGAGCTGCCTTCAGACAAAACGCAACTTTGAGCGAACTACTTTCATTCACGCGCGCCCCCTTAACTGCACCTGAGATGGTTCGGACTGAAGCTCGTCTACGTGCTAGCTGTAAAACGTGTAACTCTCCATCTGTGCGTCCTTCTTCCTCACTGCCCTCCTATGGGTGCACCTAGACCCTGTTCACCTCCTAAAACAGCTGGTCCGTCATATGTTCTCACACACAGACCTGGTCCGGAGACTCATCTACTGAGTTTCACCGCCCATCACTCCGCCCTCACACTCTGGTTTCTTTGACAGCATCTTGTGGTAGTAACTTCTGGAGCGGGCTCAGGTCCATACACTCATGTGAGCCTGAGTAACCGGGGATCTGTGTCTCTGCTCGTCCTCCGCTCCTCCATCCTCTTCATTACTTCCTCCCTCTGTCCTCTTCCAGCTATTTTATTTGATTGGATTCCTTCCCCTTCCACTCTGTTGCTCCTCTCCTTCTCTCCTAGGTTTGGTTCAGGCAGCGCTGGACTGAAGCGTTGCGCTCCTCCTCCTCTTCCTCCGTCTCCTTCCCTCTGCTTGAAACCGTGTGAGACTCGCTAGTCTCTCCAGTCCTCCTCGTCCTCGCTGCCCCTCTCTTTCTCTCTCGGTGTTTTCTGTCAGTGTGGTTTACGAGAGGCAGCTCTCCTTTCCTCTCTTCCCTTCATCTTGTTTTTCCCTTCCCACTTGGTTTCTCTCTTTCTCTCTCTCTCTCCGTTTGAGCCCTCCACCTGCCTCCGTCTCTCTCTCTCTCTGAGCCAGTAGGCAGCCAGACCGAGCGTGTGTCTAGAGGATTAGAGAGAGAAATCATCTCTCTGCTCCTCCCCCCTCTCACTCACTCTCCATCACTGTGTTTATTCCCTCCTCCTCCTCCTCCTCTTCATCTCTTACTGTTCCACCACCAACACCACACAAACCGTTTTCCACTCTTAGCGCACAACGCTCATGATTTTTGTCTTCCATCTGTGTTTTTATCATCTTCGTGCATTGAATACAAGGAAGATCTTTGCTGTTTACACACACATCCAGACAGAGACATCAAAGCCAGTGCCATGCAAATGCAGAAAGAGAGTGAGTGAGTGAGTGAGTGAGTGAGTGAGAGAGAGAAAGAGTGTGAGAGAGAGAGAGAGAGATGGAAATGGAATTAGTGACAGTCATCAAGATTTAGAGTAATTTACTCGATGGGTTGGATGCTCGCTCTCTCTCTCTCTCTCTCTCTCTCTCTCTCTCTCTCTCTCTCTCTCACACACACACACAGTAATCATGGGTCTTTTGGGGTTAGTGATGGGCAGAGGCAGTTCCACTTGAGGACATCTACAATTGCAGACTGATTACATTTCAAGTTTGATTCAGATATATTTGAGAGTCCACATTCTTAAAGCCACAGGGTTGGTAATCCTCTTCAAAGACATTGTTCGCTATGTTTGCTGAAATACTGTTTACATCCTGACAGAAATCAATAGATTCATTGATGCTCTGATGTAAAGAAATCTGGTATCTGTGGCTGTAATAAGCTACCTGCCTGTCTAACTGATCACACTCTGAAACGTGCAATTTAACAGCTGTGAGTATTAACAATAGCCACGTTCGTTTTTTACGTTACTAATGATGACGATGATGATTTTGGGGGGAGTGGCTTTGGAGGGACAGGGTGTCAGCGATTTTGTTTTTGCTGGCAAGAGTTTCTTGGAGGGGGGTTTGGCTTGAGTTTGCATGTGTTGCCCAAACAACAGTCTAAACACAAAATGATATTCAGTTTGCAAATGATATTAAAATCTGAGTATCAGCATACACTCGAGGAGCTGGAACAAGCAAACGTCTCAAATGTTTTGCTTCATAACTGACTTGAATTAGCCATAATCAACATTTTTCATATTATAAAAGGAGAATCATCACCTGACTGCAGTTCCTCTCTCTTGGTTTTACAGCCCGGCTCTCAGACTGGGAGTTAAGTTGATGGAGACAATCAGCTGAAAGGAGAGTAAATATTGGACATTTACAGAATAAGGACAGTACATACGCATTTGCAGCAGATATTCAAAAATATATTAATAGTGTTGGTATCGGATTTATGTGTCACTTTAGAGCAAACAATCGTGGGATCACATGACAATGTTCAGTCAAATACTCACACACAACAGCAGCATCTCCATAGTTGAGTGTTTCAGTGGCTTCTTCTGTCACTCCCGGATCCCCAGACCGGAGTAGTAGTAATCTATTCTTAAGGAGGTAAGGAGCGACCGCACACACACACACACACACACGTAATCCGTCCTACCCCATGCCAAGACAATCTGGCAGCACCGTGTCTCACACGAGAAGAGAGTAAAGAAAAAGAGAGAAGAAACAAACCAAACTGGCTGCAATCTGCCTCCGTACAAGAAAACACTGACATATTTCTCTAACCGCACAATATCCTCGTTCAGCTATCAAGGCAATATTCTGTCAAAATATATCACATCTGTATTATTCCAGAATGTTTTGTCCACCACTTTGATCCCGACAGAGAAATCTTAATTAGACGGATTGCCATTTAGTTCTTCCACATGACATCCATGGTCCCCAGAGGATGAACCATGATAACTTGTGGTGATGCCCTGACTTTTACCTCCACCGCCACCATGAGGTTGACATTTGGGCTTCAAGGGAGAATTTCAGCGCAACTATTTGAAGGATTGTCATGGCATTTGGTACAAACATTCATCATTCTCTCAGGATGAATGGTAGAATTTGACTTTTTATTTGGTGGCATCATCAGCTCAAGACAAACATGTATCCAATAATTTAGGACCAAATATCTGTGAGCATGTTATCATGATAACATTAGCTACAGAGTTGCTAGAGAGGCTGTTTTTATCTTATATAGCACTTATAAACGTGTTCCATGGATTTGCAGAAGCACGTGTCATAATATATGAAAAGATAAACGGATGGTAAGGTCAGCTTTGTCAGTAAAGATGTTACAAGACATTTTATCCAAGGACGCATTATTGAGGCTGGGGGACTTTCGTTGAGTTTCAGTCAGATTAAATACAATAGTTTATTACATTAGTTTAATATTACAGTGGCTGTGGTGAAGGATTCATATTATCCTCACCACTGTGTATTAAATCCTATAAGTAGAAAAGTAATGAAGGAGGTTCCTTAGGGACAAACCGTGGCTTCATGAGTCTGCAGGTTAATTCATCAGCAGGAAGATGGCACAACATCGATAAGCTGCTGAAATGGGAGGTGGTCAAGGTTTCTCTACACTTGTCTCGTGAAGAGGGGGGGGGGGGGGGCTTCTGGAGGTAAAAGATTATATTTTCACACCGATTAACGGATAAGGAGCTTTGGCGTAGCTCCAGGCACCGTGTGTGTATACGAGTCCCCGTTTACACCAGGACACTGAAGGCAATTATGGTTTTATGCCAGCGGGTTAGAATCAATTATCTCACACCAACTTCCTCAAGCCAATCTGTCTGGTTTTTGTTTTTTGTTTTTTTTTTAATCTAAGATAATGAAAAAAAAAAAAAATCATGAATCTACTTCAATTAAACTCTTAATGGAACCAATAGTTTAAAAATGAGCATTTTCTTTTTAATTATCCTTTGCCTCTCAACTTTATGCTGCATGTTGATCCGGGTGTCGCGACATTTAAAGCAGCAGCACAGAAACGGCTTGAATACGGAGGAAATACCTTAAAAAACATTTTAATGCACCAAGAAAGGTTTGAAACACATTTGTGTGCATTATTATATATTCAATCCACTGCTGCTGTAATATGTAGTAATTATTCTGTTATTGATGCTACTACAGCCATTATTGCTCATATGTATCCTTTGTCATGTGGATTAACTATGGTGTTATTCTATTATGTTTATTCTGTACTCATGACATCTATTGTACTTCGTCATCCTGCTAGACTCCCTTTTATATCCCACATCAAAGGGGTTTTTGGGGGCAGAGTGTTTCCTTTTCTGATGCGAGGGTGTAAGGACAGAGGGTGTTAAATATTGTAGGGCCCTCTGAGGCCAATTTGGCATTTCTGATATTGGCGTATACAAAATAAATTGAATCGAAAGCTGCAATAATCTTTATGATACATCAGGCGTGCCGACAACTGACACAAACCGGACCACTATCCCTGCAGCAGAACATTTCATACATCTGACCCTGTTATTAAGCCGAGTCTTTACTCGTGTATGAGCGCAGTAGTGACACAGTGACACTTGGCCTCAGCAGAACACTATAAACCCTTAGAAATCCCCTTTCCTGATAAGAGTTCACATTACATAACAAACATGCACCAGAACAGGAAAAGCCTCCTTTTCATTTCACTTTATCTCACTGATGTGACATTAAATCAGTTATAATAGTCTAAAGGGTCAAACAAGCCCTCAACAGTCATTAAGTTGTATATATACACATTTCCATTATGATGCGTTAGTCTTTAAAATGCTGCTCAGCTCCGTGTGTTCAGGTCCTTTGGTCTGCGGGTCAGCTTCAAGTGATCTCTCTGAAAGCCCTCTTCTCCACATACTTCAGCTTCAGTCTCCTCTTGAACCTAAGAGATGGCGGGAGGGAGGGGAACACAAGTTTAAAAATAAATCAATACCCTCCGTATGAATGTGTACATCCCGCAGAGCCTTTGAGGAGGCGTTACGCAAGAGGAGGCCGAGGTCCTTACTTGGCTCTCTCTCGAGGTTCGATCAGGTTCCTCTTCTGCAGACTCTTGAAGCGGTCCTTGAGGACGCTGCCCTCTGGCTGCAGAGTCCCGGCGTTGCGAGGGGTGAGAGACGACAAATCCACGTCAGACAAAAACGCACTGCTTTGACTTGGCGAGCAACTCCCACCCGAATTATAAAACCCCAGTCTGGCCATAAAAGGCTGATTTAAAGTATTATTCAGAGACTTAATGGCAGGAAGATAAGAGAGAAGAATTTTCCACATGAAACTGTAATGACCCCTGTGGGGGGAAAAGTGGGTCATTGCAGTATTACAGAATAGGATAAGGCTTAGAATAAGACAATACAGGGAGCTGAAGATAAAACAACTCAATGACGCAAAACTCATTACAGATAAAGACTCGTGTGTCCTCACTGGCAGAGAGGTCACAGTGGCTGAGCGAGCAAAATATAACAAGTGAAGTACCTTGAGTTGTCTCAGGGAGCCGGCCAGCTCGTCACTCAACTGGATCTCCATGTCCTGAGGCTGGAACCTGCAAATAAAGAACCCCACGGTTACAACTGATTCCAGCGTGAACACGAGATCCATCCACACAGCATTAATTAGTACCAGAATACGTCATTTGTGTTGCTGAAATAACACCGGAGAGCAAATAAAAACCGATCTGCTATCAGTCTCATGATTCGTGGTCTTATTAAGAATAACCGTGTTGCTAATTAGCATATTTTTAAAGCTGATGGGGATGTTGCTCTTTGTCACACTTTGCTTGCTAATCATTTTGTACACTAAACCTTCAACAGTTAAATCAGGCAAACAAGACATCATGGCTGGAATACACCGGCTTCCTAAAGAGGTCACGTTAAGATTCCTGAAGTTACTTTTAAAACCGTGAACGCTTTGGCTATGATTTGTGATCATGTGACACTTTATTCTGCACGAAGGGTTAACTCAGGTCCGGCAACCACACGCTGCAAAAACATTGCCGTGACACGTACAGCTAGTTGTCCAATTTAGGCTGTACCTCAAATTGTTTTCATGTCAACAGACCTAAATTAAATGTTGTGCAAGTTCCTTGGCTTTAAATAATTTCAAGGTTCAGATGAGAGGAACGTAGACTTTCCTCTCTTAATTACACCACGTCTGCAGTAAGTTAAGTTAAACCTCACATGATGCCCTCTGGTGGTGTTTAACAAGGATTTCACACCTGGAGTTTGGTTCATTTGGACCAAGGGGAGAATGATTAGATTAATCAGTTTGGCATTTGAAGAAAGTGGGCATTTAGGAGGCAGGGAAGGTCTTAACAAAGTATGCCATTGAATTGCATTATGGGAAATGTAGAATCATGTATTTTGGAGCTCCCCTCATACAAAAGTCAGGATATCCCAGGTTTAGTGCGATTCATTTTTAAAAGAATCCGTCTCTTGCGAGTCCTCCAGCTTCATGAAAGTGCAACACTAACTCCCCGAGTGTCCCTTTAACATATGCAACATGCAGGATAAGAGTATCAGAGGTGCCTACTTGAGTTTGCCGAGACGTCTGGGTTGAGCTTTCTGGGCCTCCTGGTTGCTCTTGCGTTTTATCTGTTTCTCCTTGGTGTCCTCTTCCTGCTGTTTGATGGACGTCTTTATGGAGCGAAGCTGGAAGAGCTGCTGCCGCTTGTCAGACCGAACTCTGTGGGCCTGTCGCCGTTGCTCCTGAGAGGGAGAGAAACAGAGAGGAGGGTCGTCAGATGGTGTGTGGAGCAACGACAATATGGCAACTTTTTGAGTAACAAGTGATACATTCACAAGTTTTTACTTTTAGTACACAGTGCAGCCCTTAAAAAGTACAAACTGTTGCATGCAGCCAATTGGGACAAACGTCTTATAACTATTTATCTTTAACTTCGACCCTCTTGCTTATATACACCTCTTGTGCAGAGGATTGTGGTTCAGAATAGCAGTTTAAACCCTTAAATTATTAACCGATTATCAAAAAACTAATTTCGGCCGACAAATCAATTCAGATGTCCTTTCGAGTGCTTCTCTTCAAGTTCCACCTTCTAGTTTTAATCATTATAAACAACAACTGATATAATTATAATAATCTATATAAATCTGATGTGAAGAAATACAAATTAACCTGATAAATAAATGGTATTATTGCCATGAATAGTTTGTATTCACATCATTGACACCATCAGTGAAATAGTTTCATTACTTTTATAGTAGAATCCTCTGAACTAAGACATTCGTGAAGGAAAAGTCTTTCGAGGTACCTTTATTTTGTCTGCCCTCTCTTTCTTCCTTTGCCTCTCGGTCTTCTTCACGGCCACTACGATGGCTCCCACTGCCACACCCTCCTCTTCCTCATTAGCAGCATCGTCTTCATGCTCCTCTTCCACGAGGCCTTCCACCTGCTCTCTGAAGACCGTCTCCTGCAGATCAAACACTCACGTTAGTTAAACTCAAGAGATCTAAACCACCACGACAGACTATAAACCGAAGATGACGGACGAGCTGGAATAGTCATCTGCACCTCTGTTGCGAAGTGTTCTCTGTTGACCGCCAGCTGTTTCACTATTTTGTCTTCCTCCTTCTGTTTCTTGACCTCCACCTCGTGGGCCACCTGCAGCAACGCCTGTGTTCACAGAGCAAGAGAGGAGACAGTCAGGGCAGCTCATACAACAAGACAAACCAGGAACATATTCTTTAGGCAACTTTATCGGAACACACATCTGCATAAACGAGCCGTTTCTTGTACTGGACATTCGCAGCCCTCAGTAAGTGAGTGAGCTGTAACTGACCTGATGGGAGAAGAAGTCTGGGTTGTAGGATCCTCCAGGAGCGATCACCTCCACCGCAGGAAGCACAGACGGCTTCTCATTCATCCTAACCGGACGCTGACAAAACAGTGATGCAGCCACATTAGTCAAAATCAAAAACACACATTCAATATAAAGTATCAGTCCACAGGCGTTTACGTTGTAACTCACAAAAGCAGATATTTGTTCTCACCTTGACACACTTCTTTCCCGTCTGTTGAAGGTACCAGGGGTCGGATGTATCTTTGGCTACATTAAAAAGAGAAAATTGTTTCAAATATGTGAGCATTTAAGTGCGCTAAAGACAGATTATCAGGACTTGACAGCAAACACAGATGCACAAGTCCACATCTTCAAATGTATGCAGCTGCAAATCTATGACCCAGCGTTAGGTTCGTACTGACAAAGAATGAGGGAAACTACGGTAACATTTCCCTCCTCACGTCTACATTTAGTTGTGGAGACTTAAATTAACATTTCACACGGGCAGATCAGGCCTCCTGTGTTTTCAATAGTCATCCCAAATAGACCACTAACAGCCACTTCAGAAAGTTAAATAAAACCCTGGTGGCTTCCTCAGATCACCATCAGCTTACAAGGACAAGAGGCTCAGTACAGCTGAAGAAAACTTTAAGTATGCAGCCACTCGCAGCGTGCACACGGCTCACAATAATAAGAACTAATACAATTATTAACAATCTATTTATCCCTCTTTTCACAATGAGATCTTTACAAACTCTTTACTTCTTTGTGTGCATCCTCAGATCCCAGATGACCGTTCACACAACGGTCACCGGAGCTCCAAATTGGTCTTCACATTCCCATGAAGGAAATACTGGGAGCGCAAGGATGAGATCATCACTGGACACACACACACAACACTCACACACACACACAGCACTCACACTCTTGATTCCATATGTCGTAGTATGCTCTCTCTGGGTTGTTGTTGGCCTCCAGCGCTGCCTTCTTGGCTGTCCCGTCGAGCGGCTGTCTGTTCAGCAGCCGTTTCTGCCTCCGCGGCACCACACCTTTGGCTGCCAGCTGCTCGGCCTTCTGGGCAATGCGACGGAGTTTCTTGGCATTAGGTAGCTGGTAGGCCAGCACGCTGGAGGAGGGAGGCAGAAGACATGAGAGATGACACATGATGGAGAGGAGCCGCGAGATATCGAAACCAGGCCTGTTGGACTTGACTGTGCCTACTCTATGATGCACGTTTACATATCCTCAGATCCCAGGACACCGTTTACACAACAGTCTCCTGAGCTCCTTTGTGTTGACTTCACATTCCCACGAAGGAAATACTGGGAGCGCAAGGATGAGATCATCACGGGACGCAACAGATACGAGTTTGCTCAAAAAATAACACGATCCTTTTACAAACAGACTTGGGGGAACCTCTTCCCCAGTCAGGCCAGACATACAATGAAACACCATGAAACAGCTGAGCCACAGCAGCCCCTTGACTTTTAATAAACCGAAAGTCACAATGTGTTCCCACACACTGAAGCTGCCTTTCATTCACACGTACTGCAGGCAACTAAAGGACTAAATCCAAGCCGGGAAATAACATTTTTAAAAGGACACTGGGCTCAGTTTCTCCTGAAAGTGAAGGAGGATGAAGCACAGAGGGCTGTGATGGATACTTACTCTTTAGGTGGTGGAATGAGGGAGTCATGCTGCAGGATCAGGTCTATCCTCAGAGGACGTGACGCCTTCCCGTTCCTCCCCTTCTTCTCCTCGGGTGCCACTACTTCACAGGGAAATACAGGTTACACACTCTTGCGTACATGTTTAAAAATTAAAATAAAAACTACTATGAGACGAGGAAATGCATGACCCATCTGTAGGACCATGAACATGTCTTTTGTGTATTTACCTCTTAGTTGAGCTTTCTTTGGTGGTCCAGCATCCAGAAAGAATAAATTTTCATCTGACTTCTCAGACAGCAGACCCCTGAAACACAAATTGTCATATTATAGACTTACGATTGAAGAAAGACACTTTAGTTTGTTTTATTTCGAACCAACAATGAGTTCCGATACAGTGAGTAATTTTCCAGGTGACTAATAAACAATTGCATAAAATGTCAAAAATCACAAATTCCATGACATCAAAGTGACGTCTTCAAATTGCAAATTTTGTCCAAAATCCCCAAATTGTTCAAATGAAAGATGGAAAAGATGAAAACCATCATATTTGGGATCCAGAGGCAGCAGATGTTTTTTATTTCAATACAAATACAAAAAACGTGTTAAACATTAATTGAACTAACGTTATTGGGGGAAATTTGTGTGAAACACGACAAGCACTAAAGCCTAATGCTTGTTTATTATATAATTATTATATTTATTAAGTCTTACATACAGTCTAAGGCCTAATGTGAGACGCGTCCATAGGACACTGACCACAGCTTCAGCACTAGTTGACTGAACGTGTTGTTTACGTGAACACAACGAGCCACAGACATTAAACATAAACAAAACGTCAGTTACCCGCGATAACTTTAAGCCAACACCTTTTTTTTTTAAAGACTTTTAGTTTGACGTAAAGAGCACAGGAAGCACACAGTGTTCGTCTCCGCCACATTTAACTTAGCTAAACTCACCCCGTGGTCCTCTCCTGGAGTCTGACGTCCGCTAAAAAACCCTCTACGTCGTTTACGTCGCTGTATTTGTTCCAGTTCTTCTTCTTGTTCTTGTTCAAACGTTTTCTCCGACCACCGGGCGAACCTGCGGCGCCCGAATTGGACTTTAAACTGAGAAAACCTGGCTGTGAGGCCGCCACGCGTTTCAACCTCCTGATCGGCGCCATTGTTGGAGGACTTGAGAAAGAAGAAACACGTTTCTTCTTCTTTTATGCTGAAGCGGTGGAGGGACGCACACAGCGACGCCTGCAGGCCGGACGGCGTAACTGCTGTATTAACTGTCCATGGAAATAAAAGTTTAAGTAAAACTTGTTTTTTTATTCTTCATTATATCATATTTTATAATGTTAGGATATATTTATTTACAACAAATTACGGGTTTTAACAACATATTGCGTGATACTCAGAGTATTGGTGTGCTGGTTTAAATTAAAATTGTGTATATTCATAATATCACATATATACAAATTGTCAATATAGTATTAAAAGTCTAAAACACCAAATATCACTCATTTTCTACTCTCCCTCGGACACTGATTGTGCTTTGGTTACTTTTTTTTGCTTTCTAGAAAAAATACATTTAATAAAAAAAAATGTAATAACCTAAACAAACAAAAATGTATATAATCAGGATTTTAAAAAAAATAAATAACTAAAAAATGACCACTTGAGTGTGGTCATTGTTTATCATGTTGATGCATGTATGTAACGTGTTTGTCCCCAGATGCATCATGGGAAACGTGTCTCCTGTTGCTCTCCTATGTTCTTTTTCCTTTTTTTTGTCGTCCCTTCGTTTTATAGCGAGAACAACGCTTTAGAGACTCAAGAATACGTTCACATTTTTTGAGCCGCAATCTATCACAAAGTTCCCAAAGGTAAGTATCACCATTTCAATAAAACTCCTATCTATCATTTAACGTCGTGTTAGTTGTCGGATGGACGTGTTTTTTCGTTTATTTTTGTTGAAAACGATAAACGCAGAGCAGTCGAGCCATTATCTGCCTGCTCGGGGAGACTTAAAAAAGCACTTGTGATCTGGTCACATTTGACTCGGAAATGCGCCTAAAGTGAGGGGTCATCTGACAAAAAATTGTTCATCAAAAGATTCCCTGACATGTCTAGTGTCATCTTCAAAAAGTATATTCCACTTTCACGCTGTGGTTTTTATACTCTTCCGTCGTTTTTATCATCGATAACAACGATTTTTTCCTTCCCGTTTGCGTTCTTCCAGCCAGCAGACAGCCATCATCTTTAAGGTGTGCTCGTTTGTGAACACTGGGCAGCCGACGCGGGCGGGGTCGCTTGGTTTTCCTTCAAAATAGCTCATTCTGAATAAAAAATCAAGGCTCGCGCGCAACCGGGGAGCACGCTGCGAAGAAACGAACAAACCCACGTTCGTTGCGCAAGGGGCGGGGTTTGTTGGGCCTTTATTGTACTGTGATTGGTCGAAAGGTTTGCAACATCCCGCCTCTCGGGCTTGTTTACAGTGTGTGATTGGTTTACGCAATAAAGAGCGCTGCTATGATTGGACGCCTTAACTGTCCGTTTTGAAGACAGTCATTACATAAGCTTAGGATATAATAAAAATAAAAAGTGAGGCTCCTGATTCTGATTTATGCTCTTTTGCAACCCACTCCAACTGAAGACTAGTTTACCATGTTGATGTAAATTTCTATATTAATGAAAATACAACTTGAAAAGTACATTTTTATCCTTCACATCTTGAGCTATTCTGATTCACATGTGCCCCTCAAACTGTATTAAAGCAAACTTTTGTCACTTGTCTCTAGGTGATCTTCAGCAGCCATGGCCCGTACCAAGCAGACCGCCCGTAAGTCCACTGGAGGCAAAGCCCCACGTAAGCAGCTGGCCACGAAGGCTGCTCGCAAGAGCGCTCCTTCCACTGGTGGAGTCAAGAAGCCCCATCGCTACAGGTGAGCTCTCACGTGGTTAATCTGTTTGTGATGGAAAGATTAACAACACAAGGCACGCTACAGCTTTATTCCCCCTCTGTTGTACACGTGGATGTATAGTAAAACTCAACTGACTTACAGATGGACTCTGTCCTGCAGCCCCAAAGAAGCACTTTGGGACATCACTTTGGGACATACTTAAGCTTATACTTTTACTTCTACTCTATGAACATACTGTCACAAAACACAGTAGTTTATGTACATTGTGTATTTGGACTGTTATGTGGAGAACATCTGAGTGGAGCTGATATTCTATCCTGTGGTTTCTCTCAGACTCCTACTAGTAGAAAAAGACTGAGAGTGGGGTTCAATCATTCAGTTGCCCTACCAACAGTATGCGGAGGTGCAAGGTGAAGATGAAAAATAGTGCACAAAATTAAAGAGTAATGTGTTCTGTTAAAAAAAATCCAAGAAGGATGACATGTGTTATGTGCAAAAAAGCAGGTCAAGTTGAGCTGCTCCACCTCAAATTTTTCCATATTATGATTTGTTTTTGCCATTCCTCTCCAGGCCCGGTACCGTGGCTCTGCGTGAGATCCGTCGTTATCAGAAGTCCACCGAGCTGCTGATCCGCAAGCTGCCCTTCCAGCGCCTGGTGAGAGAAATCGCCCAGGACTTCAAGACCGACCTGCGTTTCCAGAGTGCAGCCATCGGAGCTCTGCAGGTCAGTAGCTCTCACCGTTAATATAAATTACCAAATAATAACGTGTTTTAATCATTGAGACCAAAATGTTTTTGCCTCTGTCATCTGCAGGAGGCCAGCGAGGCCTACCTGGTGGGTCTGTTTGAGGACACAAACTTGTGCGCCATCCACGCCAAGCGCGTCACCATCATGCCCAAAGACATCCAGCTGGCACGTCGCATCCGCGGGGAGCGTGCTTAAAATGTTTCCCGATGTTATCTGCTGTCCTTTCATCCCGTCACCACTCTTTACATCCCCGTCCTCCCTCTATACTTAGTAGTTTGGTTTGAGGTCCTATATATATATATATATATATCGTATGATTGTAATAACCGTAAAATGTGTGATCATGTCTTCTTTGGTGCTACTAGTAGCAGAGTTTCCTTAGAGATGTCTTCATGTACGTTTTGAACTTTTGAATCAGTTACTCTTCTAACTAGCTAGCTCACAGGTTGTTATCTCCATGTATCAGGTGTTTTTGCAAGCCAAGAATAGTGTGTGATTTGAGATGAACATAGGAAATTGCATTAAGATTAAGACATTTTCATCTTTAGATGGACATTTACATTCATATAATGGGTCTTCTGATTTTTCTTTTAAATAGAGATTTGTTGTAAAAGTAGTGATTTCTCTTTTTTCCCTCTTTTCTTTTTTTTACAATAATGGTGTATTTCTACTGTTAGTGTTAAATGTATGAAAATACAAAAGTTTGATTCTGGTTATCAATTAGAAACGTCATTGTGCGATGATGACACTGCATTTTTTGGCAGAATCAGCGGCATATATGTAGCAGACCTATGGTGATCATATTTTGATTTTCAGCCACGTTATTATGTCCAGGTAATGTTTTGACTTTTTGTTCCTCTCTCAGGTTGATATGATAACCTATTTTTTTTCTTTTTCTACTGTGTTTTTGATTTATGTTTTCAGTCATTTTTAAAAGGCAAAATATTTGTACTCGAAATTCACAAACATAATAAACGGATTCTTGTGGTTAAATAAGACATATGAGTGAATAACTTACATTAAAATGATATTCATATTTGAGCTGAAACAATTATGAACAGAAAACTTTTCTGCATCTTCTTTGATAATTTACTCTTAATTTTTCAAGCAAGCAGGTATCCAAAATAATAGATTTTTGCAGCCCTAATTCACATTATTGTGCATTAATTTAGAACATTTATATTGTCACACATCCTTCCAGTAACTTCTTTTTCAACAACAAAAAAGGGTTTGTAATAATGAATATATATATATATATATATATATATATATATAGTATAGTGCAAACAAGAGACATAATAAAAAAACAAGATCAAAACAAGTATTATAAATAAGTAATAAAACAGTAAATAATATAAAAAAGTAAAATATCCACAATAACTAAAATATTATATATACAGACAGAATTGTTATAATTGTTGTGTTGCAATATTATACAGACAGAATAATTGTAAGGCAAAATACAAAAACAAAAAAAACAATTTATTTTTTTTACTTATTCGCTTATTATTAATAAAACGAAGTCATACTAATTACGGCAAACGTACATCAAACGGCTAAAAGTGACCACATTATTATTATTGTTGTGAACGCTGTTGCATTGTGGGACAGATGATTGACGCGGCGGCCATTTTCCCCGCTGGACGCTCTACTGCTTCCCATTGTGGATACGAAGAAGAAAATAAGAGACAAGCGAAACATTTCTCACGACTTCTACTCACTTTTCCCCCCAGGTAAGCCCCTTGAAATCTGTCACGGGGTTCGTGAATGGACTTTAAATTTTTTAAGTTATATTTTATTTTATTTTTTAGACACATTTAACTGTGAAAAAACTATAATTTTGTCGTGTGGAAAGAAACAAACAAAACACGGGCTTGTCGAACCGACGGTTGAAATGCAGTCTCTGCAGCCGTTGAGATTCAAATTATGCGCCCGGTTCAGCTCGATTCTACGCAGCCATTAGGGACCGTTGGGCTTTCCTAACCCTATCTATGAGTTCCTTGAAATGTCTTGTGTGTCTTTCTCTTATTTCCCGATACGCTGGAACTGCGGTTATTTGTCAAATTGAAGTTGTTTATGCGCTACTCCTTTAGCTCTTCTGCCCTCGGTCTTTATCCCGTTTGCGCATCAAACCGCCGCCATCATCAGAGCTGAGGGGGGCGGGACCTAGCAACAGTGGAAGGCAAGCTGGAGGTCCCGCCTACTTTTGACGACTGTGCGCGCTGATTGGCTCGAACGTTATATTTTTAGCTACGTATTGGTCTCCCAGCCAATAGTACCGTAGTTCGTCTTTGACTGACGTTTGTCAGTCCGACAGTGGTAGGGATTGTTTTGTATGTTTACTTCCCGGAAAAGTTAACTTAATTCAAGTTGCCTGTTCCCTTTTAAAAACGATATAACATGTTTAATTTTATATATGTGTATTTGAAAGGGTTAATAATCACCCTCAGGAAGTGTAGGAGTATCAATCCAACAACATAAAGCTATGAAGACATATTTGCATTACTTTCAGAGTATACAGGGTAAACAAAGCTAAAAGTAGATGTAAAGGAGAACTCTTGATTATTGAATATTCATAATAAACCAAGGCCATTTATCCTCCTCTTCTAAATCTTTTTCAGGTGATCTTCAGCAGCCATGGCCCGTACCAAGCAGACCGCCCGTAAGTCCACTGGAGGCAAAGCCCCACGTAAGCAGCTCGCCACGAAGGCTGCTCGCAAGAGCGCCCCTTCCACTGGTGGAGTCAAGAAGCCCCATCGCTACAGGTGAGACGGTACCTCACAATGGTGGGGACAAAATCATATAAAATAAGACGTACAAATGTTTCTAGAAATAAAAGAAGTACAAAAAAACCTCAGAAAATCATCAATTTGTTGCCATCCCTCTCCAGGCCCGGTACCGTGGCTCTGCGTGAGATCCGTCGTTATCAGAAGTCCACCGAGCTGCTGATCCGCAAGCTGCCCTTCCAGCGCCTGGTGAGAGAAATCGCCCAGGACTTCAAGACCGACCTGCGTTTCCAGAGTGCAGCCATCGGAGCTCTGCAGGTCAGTAGCTCTCACCGTCAATATAAATTGAATCATTGAAAACCTAAATGTTTTTGCCTCTGTCATCTGCAGGAAGCCAGCGAGGCCTACCTGGTGGGTCTGTTTGAGGACACCAACTTGTGTGCCATCCACGCCAAGCGTGTCACCATCATGCCCAAAGACATCCAGCTGGCACGTCGCATCCGCGGGGAGCGCGCTTAAACGCCCTCTCCTCCTCTCGGTCTTTCTCCCTTTTTCACCTCTTCCTGCCCTTCCTTCACCAGTCTGTCTCTCGTTCCCTCACCCGCTCCCTCCCTCTCTCCCTCCTCCCTGTGTTAGTAGTGTGTAGAGGAAAACTGATTATATTATGGAATAAAGTGTATAGTCGTGTTTTTCTTAGACTTCTAGGGTACTCTCTCTTTTTGTGCATGTACCGACTCTTTGGTGATGAGATCTCCTCAAGCACACGTCTCCTGGTTTGCACTTGTCCCTAATCTGACTCCGCGGGGGTGAGGATGACTTCTGGATAGAATAAGAGAAAACAAAACATGGACTAGAACAATGCAAATTTGGGCGGGACAGCCAGGAGGAGAGGATGGGTACGTGTCTGCTGGGGGACTCTTGTCTCTTTTCTACAGCAGGGTGCTAGAAGAACTTACCAGGTCCTCTCCTCCTGCTCTCTATCCTCCGCCAGCCTCGCTCAGAGACGACGGTGTTGGTCTCTTTCAAGATGGCCGAGGCTGTATTTTCTGTCCCTGTCTGTGTCTGCATGAGTGTTGGTTCTGATCACCACAGCATATTGTACACAATCCATCAGCATCTTTTTGGAGAACTTGATTTATGATTACCATATTGATCTTGCTGTCATTCATCAGGTTAGAGTTTTTGTTTTTTTTCTTTCAAATGAGTCTCACTTTTTTTTTTTTTCCACTTCAAAGTATTTGTAGATGACGTGGAGATGGGGGGATAAATCAGATTACAACACCGACAGAGTACAAAAACAAACTGATTTGAACATGTTTTTTTCTACTGAGATGTGAAGCTACTGACTTGTTTTGGCACCAAAGTTTGATCCTCTTGTAGAAGCTCTTTTCCTAACTGACAGAAGAGTTTAACTTCACCTGTTGTTGTGGTGTTCAAATTGGTTTTATCTAATAATTTAAAGCCAAAGCTTGAGAGCTCGAGTATGGTGTCAGAGATGCTTTTGTAGCAGTGGCTCATTTTTTAAAATACAAAAAGACCTTTTTGTAACAAAGGCTCATCTAGGTTTGTAATGTTCTTCAAAACCAAAAGCTCTCAAAGTGTGAAAATCATTATTTTTTAAACAAACTAACTGATTAAAATGTGAACATGTGTTGTAAATCAGTGTTACGTGATAATAATACTGGTGTTTTCTGTATACGTCCCCCCTTTGCTTCTATTGTTTTCTCCGGATCAGTTGATCGTCTGTATACCGTTTCTCAGGTCGTCTTGTCACCTTTTAACTTAATTTTAAACTTTTTTTTTTTTTTTTTTTGCTGAATTTGATTTTCTTTTTCTTTTTGAAATGTTGAGAATGATGTTTCAACTAAACAATGTTTGTAATTTCCAGATTTGTCATATAAGGTGGTAATAAATGGATGTTACACACACTCTGTCTCAGTGGTATACACACACACTTTTATTATAATAATACATATAATGTCCTATTATCACGAGATTAACAGTTCAGAGAAAAGTTACAATACTAGTCATACACCACTGTTCAATAAAGCTTTAACGTTCCCGACAATAAGCTCTAATTCTGTGTAAAACTTCTTTTACATTTAACTGCCATGGCAAAAACAACCCACGGAATTAAAATGAGCACGAAAACCTCAAAGTATCTCCTGTTTAACCATTGAATAAGAAATGCTCCAAACCTGCACAACCTTTCCCTGATTGATAAACAGAATTCATTGCCTTTATTTTACCATTACATGATATGACCTATAATCCTCGATCAATAAATTCCTCATTAATACTGAATTCACTCTGTGGATCAAACCCCTGAGAGGCCTGAAGGCACGTCCACCACTAGATGGCAGTAAAACACCACGTTTGTCCCTCATGCTGAGGAATGGACGGATCTCCTGCTGATGTTAAACTGGAGTGAATTAGGACAGTGTTTTAAATGTTCATCCCAGTGCCGTCGCCTTTCTCCTTCTTAAACACAAACAGACTTATATGTATTTCCCACTTTCCATCTTTGTTTTTCTACTAATGGATTATGATTAATACAAATTTAAGTCGGGAATTCCACTCTTTACACATTTTCTCTGATGATACAATTTTACTCAGAAGCGACTTCATTACCCGATTTTTTAATTCTATCTGGAAAATTGTTGTGTGCCCATTTTCTCTTACACAAACACACTGACACACACACACACACACACAGACTCCAGCATTACAATTAATATCCTTTTCTGGCTCGACGTCATTCCCCTTATCAGTGTTTCGTTTCATCCTTCTACTTCCTTGATTAAAAGGGATGAAGCCATGCCCTCAGCCATATTCATTACAATGAAACACACACACACACACACACACACAAACTCACTCACCATGTCACCATGGCCTCGACTATACTCATTACAATGAAACACAAACAAACATCTAATCAAACACCATCTTTTTAATCCTGTTGTTTTGAATGGGCAACACAGGCAACAGTGTTGTGGACACACACATACACACACACACACACACACTCACTGTCAATCACTACATCAGGGTCAGCGCTGTCTCCCCCCAGTTAAGTGTTTCAGGAATCACAGTTCAGTGTTGTTCTGATCGATACTTCAAATGATTTTAATGAGCCACAATTTGAATAAGTCAATCATCTTTATAGGACAGAAGGATTTTTTATTTAATGATGTAAAGGAGGGGAAGTTGCTCTTAACATTTCCGGGTTAATTTCTCTTTTAAACAGACTTTAAAGTGTCTCCATCTATCTCTGCTCCACCACTCCAACTGCACTCCTACATTCCGGTCTTGTTGAGCCGTGAAAACTACCTCAGGAACTCCTCATTCCATCGGGTTATGTGTTAACTGTGACCCCCATCCATCCACCCACCATAAAGGCCTACTGTACATCTGTCCCTTGTCCTTCTTCCCCTTCTGTCCCTCTGTCTAAGCCCCCTCCCTTCCTAAACACACACACACACACACACACACACTGTGCCAGTTGTGTACTAATCACGGGTTGGCCTCTCAACCTGCCCCCCCACCTTCCCCCAACACACATACATATCTCTCTCCTCCTCAACATCCATCCACCTCTCTCTTCCACCCACACCCCATCTCTCCTCACCCATGCCCCCCCCGTACCAATCCCAGCACTGTGTTAATCTGGTGCTGGTCTGACGGTCAGCACTTTGAGCGGCAGACAGACAGATTGGCTTTAATCCCCTGAGTGCCACAGATGGAGCACCACTACGCAGACCTTGGTGGAAGGCGAATGCACACAGTTGTGCACACACACACACACACACACACACGTACACAAACATGGACACAAACACACACACATGGACAAACAATTAGGAAAAAATAACTATGCACATACTTTAGATGGACATGTACGGTCCATTCCACGCTCAGCAGTTAGGACACACTGCTGATGAGTCACGAAGTCATAGTTTCACATGATGCTCCTCTGATGTAAACACACACACTGCATGTTTCTGATGAACAAAAATGGACACATATAAAATAGGGTCGTGGAAAATATAAAAGTTTTGATCTACGGCTGGTGACGATAACATGACGTTGTCACCACAGGCCCGTTTTTACCCTCTCTTGCTCATTTAGAGCTCCAACTCCTAGTTTGCAAAAATGAAAACTCAGTGGACGAGATGATTAAATTACGTCTTTTTAGAATAATGAAAGCCTGACAATCCTGGTCACATGTGCTGGACCAGACTTTTCTTCAAGTGTTTGGGTCCAAATCCTGAAAAAAAAAAACGAAACAAAAGCTCACTGTCATCTTGGAAAATGTACGTTTATGAATACAAATGAGAATAGATTAGAATGAATCATTATGTGGTTGGCTTGTCATTGGTTTACAACATATTCACAGTAAAACTGTAAACATTCTCAGAATATATGTAATGAATGAAGTACCTTTGAAATGATAACAGCTAGACATACAGTATATAACTCCAGTGAGTACTTGTACTGTACTTTGTGCTGAGGTGGAAAATATAATGGATGGTGTGAAGCTGATGTTTAGTCTATTAACCGCCACAGTAACCGATGAACTACAAGCTACAAATGGCCGACCTTATCAGTGGGCTGGGATTGAGACTGCACACAAACTAGTTAACAATAAAGCAGAAATTAAATTAACATAGAAAGAAATGGTTGTTTACAAATTCAAACTTCACAAAACATGCTGGGGGAAAAAGGAAACATATACAATTTCTGCATCACTATTTCTTCTATAAAACAACATTAAGAGCCGGAGCTACAGTTCACATTTCATGGAGGACACGCTGTAAGTCTTCTGTGAATCTTCCACTGCAGCTTCAATGTGAACATCGACGTTCCCCCCGGTGCACGCTACTGTATTATAAAGTCTTCAGAGTACCAGGTCCTCTGTGTCATACACCTCCGAATGGACGGAGCTGGGACGGGTTGCAGGGTGAATCACACACATGTTAAAAAGGGTGCACATTGTTCAGACAGTCTCTCCTCAAAGGCAAGATGGTGCATGCAAAACAAAAACTAACATACAGTAAGTTTGTAAAGATTGTAAAAAAAGAGAGATTGAGGACGTTTAAATTCTAATTACTACAACGCTGTCACATATCTGGCAATAACAGCATTAAATGGTCCTGATTATCGAATTTGTTCAGGAAAGATCCAAAAATGTTGTTGTAAATGGTGGAGTATCATTATAATGAACTAGTGTTGTCCAAACACATCCAAAGGCAAAAGTCTTCATACTTTTCCCAAATAGAGGGCTGCAGGAATGAGTCCTAAGACCGATATGACTTAGCATTTTTGCCCTTCCTGGTTCCCTCGTCTCCAAGTCATTGGCCCAATCCCAATGTCCCCCCTGAAGCCTCAAACCCTGAACCCTCAAGGATTTACTGAGAAAACGACAAAACATATGATGTATAATTGTGTGTATTTATTTTATACTTTGTACTCCCTGATTTGAAAGTCTTCCAGGCTCTTTCCTCAAAGGAGGAGAGGTAACTTCATAAAATCTATTTACTCGTTTTTGTGAAAACAGCTTCAATGACAAAATCAAATATTTGATGAATAAAAAAATAAATATCCTCTGATTTCAAGTTTATTTTTTGTCCCATCTTTAACCCTTAATGTTTCTGTGTAAATTTAATACTCCAGGCTGAACACACGTGAGCCGTCCTCTTTGTTTACCTTTTTCTTTACGTCTCCATGCGTCCACTGGTTACCCCGTGTTTAACGTCACATTGCAATGATTTGTGGGTAATTCCCTTCGGCTAAATCAGCATACCATGCTGACTTACGGAAAGGGTTCATAAAGGGCTCAAAATGTCTGCCAGAGAGCCTCAAACACTCGATGATTTGACAGTGGGACAGCCCTAAACCCTCACGGACTTCGCGGGAGCGCGCCTCAAAGTCCGTGAGTTCGTAAGGGGGGACATTGGGATTTGGCCAATGGTTTTTTTTTAACAGGTTTTTGGTTAGAAGCCTGAAATAAGGTCTGTGGTTAACACAATCTTAAAAAGATGTTTAAAAAAAATGTTCGATAAACGCATTAGTAGAATTCCTACTGAGAAGCTTTTACGCATCTTTAAAAAGACGATTGTAGTCCACATTTACAGTCTCGCGCTCATGGTGTTATACATTTATAGTGTAAGATTAAGCTTTTTATTTCTGGTGATTTGCATTCACGTTTATTTGAGAAAATGATCTTGCTGAACAAAACATCTCTGAATTATCCACGGAGTTTATTTTGTGCAATAATCCAAAAGCCAATGGAAAAAATCCTGTTGGCTTTTTGCTGAGGGAACGAGAGCGACGCTAACTTCCGAGTTAGCCTACAAACATACATCACTTCATCTCCTCATAAAGAGACCCAACAAATAATACAAATAAGGATTTAACAGCTCAAACTTCCCGACAGTCTCTCCTTGTAGGAATTCGTGGTGCTGCACTAAAAGTGACAAAGTAGTGTGATGAATTAAAAAAGACAGAGTAGTTCAGACCTTGTCGTACGGTCACACCTGGCCGATCACTGCATTAAGTGTGTGTGACCGTCTGATTTAACCAGCAGGTGAGATGTTTAGCAGTAAATGGGAAAGACATGGGTGGGGGGCCATGTTGGGAGGTGGAGGGCAGGGGGTTCAGACTAGATGAGATTAATGTAGTGTACTAGCGGTGCACAAAGAGTGGGGGTGTGGAGCGAGTCGGGCATCGCTCCCAGGGATTAACCATGTTCAGCCATTAGCACAACCTGCTAGTCAACCAGCAGCACGGAAGGGTTCAAACTGTCACGTATTAAAGGTAACGATAAGAGCCGTAAACACACAAACATCCAGGTCATGTGCAGTCGGTAAAAAAACAAAACAACGAGCTAAAAGTGGCTAAAACGCTTCAGGTTGTGTGTAAGGTT